AAGTAATTTCTATTGGTACAGGAATGAGTAAAGATGTGAACTGTTTTGGACCTTAATAGGTTTTAGTATGTATGGTATTTTCTGAGGTAATACTTAGAAAGGCTTAGAAATAGTATATAGAATTTCCAAACTAGTAGAGGTAAGAAACAAAATGGTAATTTTTTTAAATCCTGAAGAAAACCAGTTAGAAAAGAACATAGAACTGGCAAGATCAACTGAAAAGCACAAATGAGGATGGCAGATTTATAGCCAAATAGATTAGTAATTACACCGAATAAAAATGGACCTAGTACTCTATTTGAAACACAAATAGATTGTCAGGTTGGATTAAAATATTTTATATTGTGTTTACAAAGCACATCTATAGTTTAAGGACACAAAAAGATTAAAATTAAACATGGGAAAATTACATCATGTAGACAATAAACAAGAAAGTTCATGTAATTGTACTATTAGCACACAATAGAAATTTTAAGACAGGATGCATTATTAGACATGCCTTTCTTGAAGCTCTTATAATTACCTTGTCTGAGGTAGTTATCTTGCAAGTGTTACTTTTTCATGCTCCTCTCCCCTTATATTCATACCATAAACTATAAGCAAGTTTCAGCATACTCTGAAAAGAACAATTATAAAGTCAAGCCTAAATATCAAGAACATCACCAAATTTTGACACTTTGATGAAGAATAATGTAGAGAATAAATGAAGGGATGTTTTCACCAGTGGACATAACAGTGATTCTAATAAAATGTAAAGTGAGACTATAACTTGGCTATTTGGAGTTCCTCATGACCATGGGCAGCAGACCAAAGGCTGGGGTGAGAGGAAGTGTTAATGTCTGCTGGGCTGATTGATCCTGGCTATCAAGGGATGTGAAATTTCCAAATGAAACATGAATAATACTCAAAGAATTCCTAGGGTCAACTCTTATCCCTATCATTTCCAGTTGTAAAAACAGGCAAATAAACACCCCCCCTCAAACCAGAAAACCTATAAAGAAAACTATAACCAACAAAGATTCTGATCTTTAATGAAAGGTTTGGATAACTTTAACCATAAAAACTTCCCAGTTTGCTAATTAAAAGGGAATGTGTCACAACTATTATTTACAGAAAGGAAGGCTGGAACATCTACCTAATTTATATATAGTTAGATATTATTATTACATTTCTTCTTTCCTCTTAAAAAATTTTTTTTAAGGTTTATTCATTTTTCAGAGACAGAGAGAGGCAAAGTGTGAGTGGGGGAAGGGCAGAGAGAAAGGTAGACACAGAATCTGAAGCAGGCTCTAGGCTCCCAGCAGTCAGCACAGAGCCCTTTTATGTAGGTTGTTACAACTTAGAAGAAAGGTTACAGAATGTCTACACAGGATCCTGACAGATAGAAGGTATAAACATTACCCAACACAATTTTGGTTGAATGAGGAATGGCTCATGAATAAATGAGGAGTGAGGAATGTTATTTTAGATGAGGTTTTAATGTTCAGTTACAGGAAGAATGAGGTAGATTGATGGGATGCCATCTTGTGAACACTGGTCATTCATTTGGCTGTACAGTATTTGTGCACCCTTGCTATGATGGTTAACACCCATCTTTAAGAAGCCGAGGCTGATTCTCACTAAACTGAAAATGCATCTTAGTCTCTCCAGCAGCTAATGTACAAGGATGGAACATAGGCTTCAGCACTCCAACACACCCATCTCAGGGGTGCCTGGGTGGCTTCATCAGTTAAGCAACCAACTTCAGCTAGGGACATGATCTCATGGTTCGTGAGTTTGAGCCCTGTGACGGGCTCTGTGCTGACAGCTCAGAGCCTGGAGCCTGCTTCAGATTCTGTGTCTCCCTCTCACTGACCCCCCCCCCCTCCACTTGTGCTCTGTTGCTCTCTCGAAAATAAACGAAAAACAAAAAACACCTATCTCAGAACAGCAAGGTGATGATATAAAGGAACAAGGATGGGAGATTCCATCTGGGTGATGGGTAACCCCATGTACACAGGTGGCACTAGCAGGAACATCCAGAGTCCATGTTGTCAGTAGTGTAAGCTGGCAATTCTGTCCAGCAGCAGCAGCAGCAGCAGCAGCAGCAGCAAAAGGAATGACCTCATGAGTTCTGTGTCATCATGTGCAGCAATGTTCTTGGTTCTGTATCTTTGTTCCTTAGCACTCTAAGATTTTCTATGAGCCACTCAATATTCCTTGAATGAATTTCTTATCTACTCCAATTTTTTTTTAATTTTTTTATTTTTTTATTTAAAAAAATTTTTTTTTCAACGTTTATTCATTTTTGGGACAGAGAGAGACAGAGCATGAACAGGGGAGGGGCAGAGAGAGAGGGAGACACAGAATCGGAAACAGGCTCCAGGCTCTGAGCCATCAGCCCAGAGCCTGACGCGGGGCTCGAACTCACGGACCGTGAGATCGTAACCTGGCTGAAGTCGGACGCCCAACCGACTGCGCCACCCAGGCGCCCCTCTACTCCAATTTTAAAAAGGTAGAACATATGGACTGTAACCATTGTGTTTCCATTAAAATTAGAAATAAAACAAAGATGGCTACAGTAGAAACTTCTGTGGGTGATAATTAATTTTCTACACTTGATTTCTGGACTAACTGAGAAACAGACTTTTTGTTAGGGATGCTTTACTGAAAGAGGCAGCTTGAAACTGCACATCCTAATACTTCATTTAAACTTAGGTATTGGGAGACATAACAAGCAGAGGACTAGGCCTGTAGAGCAGTTACAGAGAATCATAGTCTGACCCAGGGAACATGAGAAATTCAGGGTCAAATGGGGGGGGGGGTGGATATTCATGTGTTTTAACACATTTCACCAAAGCATAAATCATTTCTCTTATGACACACAAATAAGAGTGGAGATGAAAACAACAAACAGAAATTAATCTGAAAAAACCAACCCTTCAGTCTGTTAAAATGGGGAAAATATAGTGAAAAAAAAAATTCTTGCCCAACAGCCACTGTCCTCATGTCTACAACATGAAAAAAGGTGAAATAGGTATACTGAGATATCCCTTTATATGCAGATTATCAAAGATCAAAAGAATCTATCATTTTATAATCAATACCTAATAAAAGATACTAAATTTCAGATTATTCCTAGCATATTTTAAGTATTGTGAAACATTACATCATGAAGATATTAGAGTGTAAAGAGATAAAAAGTTGTCAAAGACATTTTGAGACATACCTGTATTAATGAATATCCATTCAAAGTCAATTCAATGTGAATTCATTTTGAAATACTCTATTTAAATTGAATAAAATTTAAAATATAACCCTTATTAGTCTTTTTATTGGAACCGGATAAAATAATTTAAAATCTAATAAGCATTTGTTTTTGTTTTCATTAAAAAAATTTTTTTTAAGTTTACTTATTTTGAGAGAGAGAGAGAAGCAAGCATGGTAGGGGCAGAGACAGAGAGAATCCCAAGCAGGCTCTGCACTGTCAGCACAGAGCCCGATGCGGGACTCCAACACAAACTACGAGGTCATGACCTGATTTGAAGTCGGACACTCAACCGACTGAGCCACCCAGGTGCCCCCTTTTTTTCTTAAATGTTTAACGTTTATTTAATTTTGAGAGAGAGAGAGACAGAGGGTGAGCGGGGGAAGGGACAGAGAGACAGGGAGACACAGAATCCAAAGCAGGCTCCAGGCTCTGAGTTGTCAGCACAGAGCCTGATGCAGGGCTTGAACTCACCAACCGCGAGATCATGACCTGAGCTGAAGTTGGACGTTTAACCGACTGAGCCACTCAGGCACCCTGTCTTTATTTCTAAGTAAAAATTATATATTAACAATATACATATCTCAATTTCCAAGTAATAAGTTACTAAAAAGTATAAGTCAAAGATTGCTGGAAAATAGAGCACAGAAATAGATTTGAGAATATGAGCATTTCATATATGAGTATTTTAATACAGTAGGAGAAAGATGAATATTTCAATTATTGGTTCTGGCATAATTGGTCTTATTTCTGAATGGAAACAAAACCAACATCCTGTATTACACCATATACAATAATGAATCCCAGATGGATTAAAATGGTAAAGTCTGTGTGTGTATACACACCCACATATGTGAAAAACTGTACACTCTGTCCCTTTATCCTCGTCCCTCGGAAAGTTTCTATAAGCAATACCTTCCTAAGAAACAGAAAACATTGGAAATGGTTTGGAAAACCTATTTTACAGAAATAAAATAGACAAAAGTATAAAATGTTTATTGAAGCATTACTTTTATTATTTTTTTTAAAGTTTTTTAAAGTTTATTTTGAGGGGCGCCTGGGTGGCTCAGTCAGTTAAGTGTCTGACTCTTGGTTTCAGCTCAGTTCATGATCTCATGGTTCATGGGTTCGAGCCCCACATTGGGCTCCATGCTGTCAGTTCAGAGCCTGCTTGGGAGCCTCTCTCTCCCTCTCTCTCTGGCCCTCCCTGCTTGTACTCTCTCAAAATAAATAAACTTAAAAAAAAAAAAGTTTGAGAGAGAGCGCACACGCAGGGGAGGGGCAGAGAGAGAGAGAGAGAGAGAGAGAGAGAGAGAGAGAGAATGAATCCCAAGCAGGATCCACGCTGTCAGTGTAGAGACTGACTCAGGGCTCAAACTCACAAACCATGAGATCATGACCTGAGCCAAAAACAAGAGACGCTTAACCGACTGAGCCATCCAGGTGCCCTGAATGAAGCACTACTTTCAAACAGCAGAGAGGAAACAGTCTGAAATATTGCATGAATAGTTGAGTTGGTATTGGTACAAACATACTTGGGTATAAAATATACTGTAACCATTTAAAAAAATAAGTTAAATCATCATTTACTGACTAGGGAAATTCAAAATTTAAAAGGCATGTTTAAACTATCATCCATATTTTTTGGTAAAAATATACTGATTTGTGTTAACATTTAAACATAAAGAAATATATGGGGGATATACACAAGGTTTGAACATTACTCAGAAGTAAATCAGCAGAGAGGGAGTGAGGAATAGCAAAAGGCATAGCTTTTTTTTTTTTTTTTTTTAGTATTGCTTCATTGGTTTGAACGCAAATGCATTACCTCTGTAATTTTATTTCATTTTATTTTTTAAAAGTTTTTATTTCTTTTAGTAATTTCCCTACCCAACGTGGGGCTCAAACTCATAGCCCTGAGATCAAGAGTCGAATGCTCTTCCCATAGAGCTAGCCAGGCATCCCATTTCCTCTATAATTTTAGATGAAGAACTTAATGAATGACTTAAACTCCTATGTTGCTCATTCCGCTTTTCTTAAGTTGATTATAAAATATTTTACAGGCATAAGCCTGGAACAAAATAACTCAATGTTTAAAAAAAAACCTTAACCTACTAACATGGGATCTAAGAAAAAAGGAAGTGAGGAATGGAAGAACAGACCTGTAATTTTGGGTATATGGGAATTTCCTTCCAAGAATGGAATCCATCCAATGCAGGAAGCTGCTTGCTGAGCATGAAAATTGAGGCAAAGAAAAGATCTATTTCAAAACACTAATCTACCTAAACAAAGCTAAAATGTGGGACATTTGCTTAACTTCAGGATTCTTAATCTAAGACTTTTAGTAGCCTTCCACACTCTTCCACAATGGCAGAGTTAAGTAGTTGCTACAGAAATAGTACGGCTCACAGGGCTAAAATATTTACTGTCTGGCCCTTTATGGAAAGTCTGCTAACTTTTCATCTAGAACACAATACAGAATTCCAATGACATGTTTGCTGCTAGTGCAAAAATGTGATGCTCAGGCTATTTTTCCTCTTCATAGGCCATTTAAAAATTTTCAGTTGTATGTGTATATATTTATCAACAATAGGATATTGTTGTTACATATAAAACAGACCCAATTTTTAAATTTGACATGATGCTTAGAATAAAGAACTGCATGTAGAAAATATTGGGGTGGAATAAGTCTTTAAAAAAAAATCCTTACACTTGGAGTTTAGCTAGTTATCTCTGGAAATATTTTAAATATTAAATATTTAAGGGATTTGCACTATTTTTTTTAATTTTTTTTCAACGTTTATTTATTTTTGGGACAGAGAGAGACAGAGCATGAACGGGGGAGGGGCAGAGAGAGAGGGAGACACAGAATCAGAAACAGGCTCCAGGCTCTGAGCCATCAGCCCAGAGCCCGACACGGGGCTCGAACTCACGGAGCACGAGATCGTGACCTGGCTGAAGTCGGACGCTTAACCGACTGCGCCACCCAGGCGCCCCTGGATTTGCACTATTAAAAACTCCTCCTCCAAGCCTTCTGCACATCCACAGCTTTAGGGTCCAGAACAAAAGGAACTTATGGCCTATTTGTGCAGTCAATACATCTTTGGTACTCATGGTGTCTTTAAAGATAAATCTGAGCTACCATTTAAAAATCAAGAGCTATTAGGGCACCTGGGTAGCTCAGTCGGTTGGGTGTCTGACTTTGGCTCAAGTCATGATCTCGCCATTCATGGGTTCAAGCCCCAAGCCCCAGGCTCACTGCTGTCGGCCTATCAGCATAGAATCCACATTGGATCCTCGGTCCCCCTTCTCTGCCCCTCCCTCACTTGCACTCTCTCAAAAATAAACATTAAAATAAATAAAAATCAAGAGCTATCACACACTGAAAAAAAAAAAAAAAAAAAAGATCCAGACTTTCGAAAAGTCACAAGAGCTGGCAAAATGAGGCCTGCATTTCCTCACATCAGTTAGTTAGAACTGGGCACTGGGTATCCTCCTTAGCTACTGCTGCAACCAGGTTCATTTGTATTATTTTAATAGGTACCACTGTTTGCTAGTTTCTTTAGTATGCTCACATATATCTTCATGGATACTAAAAATGAGCTTCCGTTTTTAGGTGTCCTAATATTATTCTAACATCAAGGTTATATTTGGGTGGTTATGAGATGTTTACCTCTATATAACAATTCCTTAGATACTTGATAATGTTTTGCCTGAAAAAAATTTTTGGTTTGGTGCTTTATTAGTAGTAATAGCTACTGTATCACACTAAATTTCCCCTTTTCTGTGTTTTTATGATTATGAGGCTTCTGAGAGTTCTAATTCTGAGTCAATACTGTATTCATTTTTATTTTCCTAAAAAAATAATTTTGTTCAGGTTTTCAAATATACCAGAAAGCACTGTATTTAACATTTTATTAAATATTTTAAGTAATCTCTACACTCAATGTGGGGCTTGAACTTACAACCTCGAGACCAAGAGTCACATGCTACACCAACTAAGCCAGCCAGGCACTCCTAAAATAACATTTTAAATCATTAACTATAAGGTTTCTCTTTGTGTATTAATTTTTCAAACATAATGCTGTTTCTTTTCACACTTTTTCATTTTTCATCCATGTTGCAAATGATTTGTCTACATTCTTGTTTTTACATTAGGTATTGCATGATGTAGCAAAAAGGATGCTAGGCTGAATAAAGTCCTTTCCACACATTACTTTCCCCATCAACACCTAGGATAATTTCATGTTCCATAGGAAGTGATGATGGAAAATTTTCTGAATTCATTACCCTGTGTCTTTCTTCGACTATATATCCTGCCTGACGTTCAGCAAGGTCTGCAGAAACTGTTTTTCAGCAAATAATACTAATGGCAATGATGAATAAAATAATGACCAACATTCAGCGAATATTTATTATATGACAGGCAGAATTCTAAGCACTTTATGCATCTTAGTTTATTTGATCCTCACACAAAATTTTGAGGTAGGTATTATCATTATCCCGTTTTAGTTTCCACTGAGACAAATATGTATAAAAACGTAGAAAAATGATCAGGAAGCATAAATACTAAACAGATAATGACTATCCTTCAGAAAGGGAAATGCATACAAGGATAATAGTCAAAGAGTGTATCTGCCTTATTTGTAATGTTTAAATCTTTTAAAAGGAAAATATGTTCATGCACTATTTCTGCAATTAAAATACATGATATAAAGATATGCCTATGGAGAATTTCCATTAGGGTACTGTGTGTAATGGCAGAAACTCTGGGAAATGTCTATCAGTAGGAATTTGATAAAATGATATCACAGCAACATATGGAAACACCAAGAAGCTATGAAGGGATCTCTATTTACTGTGTGGAAAGTTGTTCGTCAATGTTTTTACAAGAAATCCGAAGTTTTGTAAATAACAAAAAGAATAAGCCATCTTTGAATAAAGAGGTCACTTATTCCAGGTATTAAAGGTATTTTACAAACTGTGATGGAAACAGGTGGACTTTATAGTCATATAAATTTAAGATGGGTTAAAATATTAAGAATATAACAAGTATAGACAAATTAGGGGGAAAAACAAAAATGCCAGGATTATATTTCATCATGAATTCTGAGGTTTAAAATAAGGTTAGAAAGGTGTCAAAAGTGCTGTGATTTTCAGTATTTGCTAGCTTGAATTATCTGATGTCAAAAGAAATATAAGCTTTTATTAAAGGACTTCCAAAATATATTCTACTCATAGGGTGTTTCTCCTACATGATTTTTCTCAGGCTGAATAAGCTGGAGTCAACAAGTAAGATGTTTCTACATTATTCTATTTAAAGGGATTATTATCAAGACAAATTCTCTAATGTTGAATAATTGAACTGTAATTAAAAGCCTTCCTACAGATTTCAGACCTTCTATAGTTTATCACCAGTACAAATTTTGATGCTGAATAAGTTGTGAGCCATAATTAAATGTCTTCCCACATTCTCTATATTCATAGGGTTTCTCACCAGTATGAATTCTATGATGACTAATAAGTTGTGAACTCTGAGAATAGGCTTTCCCACATATCTTACACTCATAGGGCTTCTCACCAGTATGAATTCTCTGATGTCTAGTAAGATCTGAACCAGAACGAAAAGCCTTTTCACATTCCTTACATTCATAGGGCTTCTCACCTGTATGAATTCTCTGATGTTTGATAAGTTGTGAGCTCTGACTAAAGGCATTGCCACATTCCTTACATTCATAGGGTTTCTCCCCTGTATGAATTCTTTGATGTTGAGTAAAGTTTGAGCCACTACTAAAGGCCTTCCCACATTCTTTACATTCATAGGGCTTTTCACCAGTGTGAATCCTCTGATGTCGAGTGAAGTTCGAGCCACTACTAAAGGCCTTTCCACATTCCTTACATTCGTAGGGTTTCTCACCAGTGTGAATTCTGTGATGTCGAGTAAGGTCTGAACCACAAATAAATGTTTTCCCACATTCTTTACATTCAAAGGGTTTCTTGCCAGTATGAATTTTCTGATGATGACTGAGTCTTGAGGGATGTCTAAAGGCTTTTCCACATTCCTTACATTCATAGGGCTTCTCAATGGTATGAATTATTTGATGTGTAGTAAGCTGTGAGTCATGTCTAAAGGCTTTCCTATATTCCTTAGTTCCACAGTATTTCTCTTTATTATTGATGATTTGCTGTAATGTAAAGGATGGATGCTGACTGAATGTAGGCATGCCTTCATGGGTGAATATCAGTTGACCAAAGTGTCGCTCCTGAGAGCCATGTTGTTTCTCAAACTGGCCATTACATTCCCAATCATCTCTGAAACTAGAGCACTGAAGGTCATGTCTTGTAAGTCTTTCCATTAACTCCCACTGCGCTGACTCTATTTCATAAATCTCCTTCTTCAGAAATAATTTCTTGGTCTCACATCTTGATTCCAGGACTGAAAGAAAATATGAAAGTAATCACTCATATTTTTTGTTTGGGAGAAATAAAACTTCAGTTAAAATGGGAGAATTAAACCAAACTTGAAAAAAAATAGATGAGAATAAGGACAGATCATATAGTAAGATGAGGGCAGTAAGTAAGCCAATGATTTCCAAACATTGCTATTGATCAGAATTATTTAGGGGAGCTTGCTGAACATACAGAAAACTTAGTCTTATCTCCCTTGTTACAAAATGACTCTAATCATAAATACACATACAAAAATTCAGAGTATATGCACACATACCTGTAAGAGCACCCCACAACATGAAGTATAAAATAAGGGAAATGATTACCTACTTAATAGAGTTATTATCAGGATTAAATGAGTATAAGATAACATTCCCAGGGGTTGGCAAACTATGGCCTGCAGCACTGTAACAATTTTTATAAGTAAAGTTTTATTGGAACATAGCTACACTTATTTGTTTACATATTGTCTATGACTGCTTTTGAGCTACAATGGCAGAAGTGAGTAGTTGCAACAGAGACCACATCGACTATAAATTTAAGATATTTATTATCTGGCCTTTTAGGAAAATGGTTTGCCAGTTCCCAGTTAGATCTATGTTGTCCATTACAGTATCCATGAGCATATGTATCTATTTAAATTTAACATAATTAAAATTATATAAAAATTCAAATTTAATTCAATAGCACTGTAATTTCCAGTGTTCAATAGCCAATTGTGGTTAGTGTTGGAAATAACATAGAACATTTCCACATCATCACTGAAAGTTTTATTAGACAGCACTGTCCTCAATTCTGTAACTGGAAACCCAGGGTCTCTTTAACAAATAAGGAAATTGAGAGTGGCAATCCAGATGGCAGGAATGAATAAATCTAGCATGAGTGGCAGACAGTGAGGATTCTTTTGTGGCTAAATATGGAATATGTTTGGAGTTTGATAAAAACACTTTTTGGCTTGGAACTCTGTGATGCTGATCTTAGGAGAAAAGAGGAAAGGACTTAAAAAGAACATAAACACTATAGTAGTGATGACCAACTGACAGGAAGAGCATTTGTAGGTTTAAAGAGAAGGTAGAGGATATAAAAACAGTGTTCTGCTATTGAACAATCAGTTACCAGAATCAGTTGTGAATTTTTGAACACACAGCTAATTACAAGCTTTGTTTTCTTGGGCAAAGTAGTTCATTTTTCTTAGCCCTCAATTCTCTGTCTACTCTTATAATCATTGGGGGAACTGTAAATAATATATGAGAAGTATTTGGCATAAATGTTTAATATTTGAGAGATAATACAAAAGAATTTCTATATTAAAATGGGGATATTAGGCAAGTGCAGTGTTTTGAAGACCACACTATGGGAAAATCTCAAGCCAAAAAAGTGAAAAGTATTCTAGTACCATCTTTTCTCTTTCTCTCATATAATTATTCAGCAAATACTGCCTAATCTTGCTCCTAAATATATCTTAACACTCTTCCTCTTATCTTCAATATCTAATACACGTATCTCTTTGAACTATCAGGAGAGTGTCTTTCTTATCTAGTTTCCCCACCTGAGGTAGGCAATCTTGAACCCATCCTTAATGGCAGTTCTCTTACAACAAAAGCCAAACTCGAACAAGGTATACAAAGCTCTGAATGATCTAATTGCTGCCTGCCTCTTCAGACAAATCTCAGGCTATGCTCCCTTTTGGTTGCTAAGCTCCATCCACGCTGGCACTATTTTGCAGTTCTTCAAATGCTCTCAGTTTTTAGTCCCTCTTAATAGTCTTTCCAGGTACTTTTCCTTATGTCTAGTAGGTGGTTTTGTTGTTGTTGTTTACTCTTGGCCTTGGTAACTATTGCCCATTTTCCAAATCTGCACTTAAAGGTCATACTTTTTGAGGCCTTTCCTGGCTGCATGACCAAATTATACTCTCCTTGTAGTCACACTTTAAGCACTCTGTTGTCCTCCTTAACAGGATTTTCATAATTTGTAATTATATATTGACTTAGCTTCACTTACTATCTTTTTCACTGAATAGGTGTTAAATTGTGAAGGAAATGTCCATAGTCTTCATCAGTGTGTACCTAACTCTAAGCACAGTATCTGGTATATACTGGAAGATCAACAAATATTTATTAACTGACTCAATAAGCAAGTATTTAAATGTATACTCCTTAAAAAATTCCTCTAGAAGGACACACTCTTTTCAAACACAGCACAGTGAATATATGCATTTATTACTGTTCCTTCATGAAGTCCCACCAAAGTGATAGTGATGAGATTAAATGAAAGAAGAAACTCCACAAAGACAAAGAAGAGGAAAGAGCAGCAACAAAATTTTTGAAGCCACCGTAGATGTAATGGTAACAAATAATTTGTTAACCATAAACACACTGAAACTCAGGTTATAGATTAGTCTTATTGTAGAATCATTCTTTCTAAGAACTGCAATCAACAGGTACCTTTGAAAGCAGGGTGCAGGAGGGGCTGCAA